TCACCACAAACGGACCAGCCCACCTAGACTTAAGCTTGCCTAGAAACAGTCTCAGGCAAGAATTGTACAGTAACACTTGTTGGCATGGTTGAAATTCCTTTGGACTGATCTTTTTATCATGCCACTTCTTGGTCTTTTCTTTATACACTCGGGCACTCTCATATGCAGATAATCGAAACTCATCTAGCTCATTCAGTTGCAGCAATCTTTTCTGAAGAGCTTTTGTTGGTTCAAAATTCAAGAATTTGGTAGCCCATAAAGCCTTATGTTCCAACTCCACAGGCAAATGACAAGACTTCGCATACACCAATTGATAAGGAGACATACCTATTGGAGTCTTGAATGCAGTTCTATATGCCCAAAGCGCATCATCAAGCTTTCTTGCCCAATCCTTCAAGGAATTTCCAACAGTCTTCTCAAGAATTATCTTCAACTCTGTATTTGACACTTTAACCTGCCCCCTAGTCTGAGGATGGTAAGGTGTAGCCACCCTATGGTTCACTCCATAATTCACAAGCAAACTATCAAACTGCTTATTGCAAAAGTGTGTCCCTCATCACTGATAATGGCTCTAGGAACACCAAACCGAGTGAAGATGTTCTTCCTCAGAAAGTTCACCGCAACTTTAGCATCATTGGTGGGAAGAGCAACTACCTCAACCCACTTAGACACATAATCTACAGCCACCAAGATATATTGGTTGGAATAAGATAAGGGAAATGGCCTCATAAAATCTATTCCCCACATATCGAAAAGTTCTACCTCCAATATGCTATTCAGAGGCATTTCATCCTTGTGGAAAATATTTCCAGCTCTTTGACACTTGTCACACCTCTCAACATAATCCCTATCATCTTTAAATAATGTAGGCCGATAGTAACCACTATGTAAAACTTTTTGAGCAGTTTTATTACCTCCAAAGTGTCCTCCGTAGTCTGATGCATGGCAATGCCACAGGATCTCATGCACTTCAAACTCTGGCACACACCTCCGTATGATTCCATCAGCACATTGGAAATACAAGTAAGGATCATCCCAGTGAAATCTTCTTGCATCCCGCAAAAGCTTTTTCTGTTGTTGCCGAGTAAGGTTAGGAGGCAACTCTTTTATCACCTTGTAGTTGGCAATATCCGCAAACAGAGGAGGCACAAAAATAGCCATCACTCTCTCATCAAGGAAGGTGTCATTTATTTCTTTTTCTGGACCATCTTGCATTTCCTTTTCCTGAATTCTTGACAAATGATCTGCCACCTTGTTTTCTACACCAGACTTATCTCTAATTTCCAAGTCGAATTCTTGAAACAAAAGCATCCACCTTAGCAAACGAGGCTTGGCATCCTGCTTAGTCATCAAATACTTGATAACAGAATGGTCAGTAAAAACAATTACCTTGGAACCCAATAAATAAGACCGAAATTTGTTAAGTGCATACACTACTGCTAGCATTTCTTTTTCGGTTGTGGCATAATTTACTTGTGCCCCATTTAAAATCTTGCTAGCATAGTATATGACATGTAACAATTTATCCTTACGTTGGCCAAGGACTGCATCAATGGCATAAGCACTAGCATAACACATAAGTTCAAAAAGGTAAACTCTAATCAGGAGCTACAAGAATAGGAGCTGTAGTAAGCTTTTCTTTCAACAAATTAAAAGCTTTCAGACATGCATCATCAAAGTTAAATTCAGAATCCTTTACTAAGAGTTGGCTCAATGGTTTAGCTATCTTAGAAAAGTCTTTTATAAATCTTCTATAAAATCCAGCATGTCCTAAAAAACTTCTAACACTAGTCACATTAACAGGATGAGGAAGTTTTTCAATCAACATTAGTTTTGCTTCATCAACCTCAATCTCATTCCCAGATATTTTATGGCCTAACACAATCCCCTCTTGTACCATGAAATGACATTTCTCCCAGTTAAGTACAAGATTAGTCTCTTCGCATCTTTTTAAAACACTAGTTAAATTATGCAAACATATATCAAAACAAGAGCCAAAAACGGAAAATTCATCCATAAATACCTCAAGATATTTTCTCCACCATGTCAAAAAATATGGAGAGCATGCACCTCTGAAACGTAGCAGGTGCGTTGCATAGACCAAACGGCATCCGTCTATATGCAAATACTCCAAACGGGCAAGTGAAGGCTGTTTTCTCCCGGTCCTCTGGTTCCACTGAGATTTGATTGTACCCAGAATATCCATCCAAGAAACAGTAATAAGTATGCCCAACCAATCTTTCTAACATTTGGTCAACAAAAGGAAATGGAAAATAGTCCTTCCTTGTGGCGGCATTTAACCTTCGGTAATCCACACACATCCTCCAACCAGTAATAGTTGTGGTCAGAATTACTTCATTTTTTTCATTGTGGACCATGGTGATGCCTCCTTTCTTCGGAACAGTTTGCACTGGACTCACACAAGTAGTATCTGAAATCAGGTAAATCATACCAGCATCAAGAAGTTTCACCACCTCTCACCACCTCCTTCATTGTTGGATCAAGGCTCCTTTGAGGTTGCCTCACAGGTTTGACATCATCCTCCATGAGAATTTTGTGAGTACAAAAAGAGGGATTTATACCCTTCAAATCAGAAATGGACCACCCTATTGCAGTCTTATGTTACTTCAACACTTCTATCCACCTCCTTTCCTTCTCAGAAGACAACCCCTTATTAATGATGACAGGTTAAGTCTCCTCATCACCCAATAAGATGTATTTAAGAGTTTTAGGCAGCTCCTTTAACTCTACTTTTGGGGCACCACCTTCTTTGTCAGAATCTTTCTTCTCAAGAACCTCAAACACAACACTCTTTTCTTCCTCAAAAAGAACAATATCACGTACCTTAAGTTCTTCATCAAGCTCCTGACTAGAAGATTTCTCTTCTTTCACCACTTCTTCTAAAACATCAATTCTGAAACAATCACCTTTGTCAGAAGATTGTCTCATAGAATCAAAGACATTGAGGGTGATGGTCTCATCATTCATCCTTAACTCGAGCTTCCCTTGTTCAACATCAATCATAGCCCGAGCAGTAGCCAAGAAAGGTCTTCCCAACAAAAGAGGCATTTCAGTTCCCTCTTCCCTGTCCAACACCACAAAATCTGCTGGAAAAATGAACTTGTCCACTTTCACAAGTACATCTTCAATTATACCAGTGGGTTTCCTCAAAGATTTGTCAGCAAGTTGCAAGAAAACCATAGTAGGCTTGAGCTCAGATATCCCCAAAGATTTACACACAGACAAGTGCATCAAATTCACACTCGCCCCAAGATCACACAAAGCTTTGCCAACATTAATGTTACCAATAGCAATTGGAATATTGAAGCTCCCTGGATCATGACGCTTAGGAGGAAACTTCTTCTGTATTATTTCACTACACTCCTCAGTGAGTGTCACAGTCTGACATTCTTGCAACTTGTGTTTCCTTGATAAGAGGTCTTTCATAAACTTGGCATAATTTGGCATATTAGCCAAAGCCTCAGCAAAGGGAATATTAATGTGCAACTTTTTGAAAATATCAAGAAACCTGGCATATTGCTGCTCCTGAGCATCTTGCTTGAATCTTTCAGGATAAGGTGCCATAGCTCTCACATAACCAGAACTCATCTCATGCTTCTTCTTAACAATCACATTCTGTTCTTTCTCCTTTTCTTTTTCTTTTTCAATTGGCTTCACCACTTCAGCAGGTTTTTCAATTTCTTTTTCAGGCTCACCTGCCTCATCAAGCTTCTCCTCCACCTCAGGAGATGGAAGAACTTTACCACTTCTGGTCATTATAGCCTTGTAATACTCCTTGGGATTCGCAATAGTGTCACTAGGAAATGTTCCTGGAAGTCTCTCAGAAATTTGCTTGAATAATTGACCAATTTGAACCTCCAGGTTCTTGATAGAAGCATCCCGATTCTTGTTGTGTGCTCTAGCCTCATTGATAAAAGAATTTTTTGTCAGAATGTGGTCATTCATTGTCTTAGAAAGCTGTATCAAAGCTTTCTCCAGCTCAGAAGAGTCTTTTTGTGGAAGAGGAGGAGGTTGCAAATAATTGTTGGAACCATAGTCAAGACCACCTCCTTGACCTCTCCTATGAAAATTACTCTCAGAAGCAAAATTCTGATTTCTTGAAAAATTTTGTTGGGGCTTCTGTTCATACCAAACCCCATTCACTTGCACCTGCAGTGGATTATCACCCATTAGAGTAGGGCACTCATTAGACTCGTGAGCTTCTCTACAATACTCACAAACCACAGAAGTTGATTGAACCTTAGACACTTGCAATTTCTCAAACTTTTCATTGAAGCTATCAAACTTCTTAGACAACAACTTTTGTTTAGCAAGCATAGCATCATTGCTCTCCAACTTTATCACTCATCTTCTTGCTTGAACCGGCAAGCTCTCATTCTCGTTTCTGGCCAATTTCTTTATCAAGTCAAGAGCTTGCTCAGATGTACTCTGCCGAATATAACCTCTCGCTGCACTATTAGGCACTTATCTTGTTTCAGGAGAGATGCCGTTAAAGAAGATTGCCACCTCTCTATCATAATCTCTCTCATAGAGCGGACATTTTTTAATAAGTTCCTGGAATCTATTCCAGGTTGCACACAATGATTCTCCTTCAAGCTGGCGGAAGTTAGTGATCTCATTCACCAGCTGGTTGTATCTTTCCATAGAGAAGAACTCGGCAAAGAATTTTGTTGACAAGTCTTCCAATGTCATGATAGTATTGGCTAGTTGCCTTTCTATCCATCTGAGAGCCTTTCCCTTAAGAGTAAAAGGGAACAGTCGGAGCCTGATAGCATCGGCAGACACTACATTGTGCTTGGTAGTGTCACAGATCATCAGGAATCGATCTATGAACTCATGAGGGTCCTCATCGTCAGCGACAGATAACTAAGCTCTCCCCACCAAAGTAATTAGAGCTGGCTTCAAATCAAAATTGTTTGCCTCCACCGTCAGCCTGAGTATACTTGAATTTGGCCTATTGAACACCGGAGTCAGAATGGTGTCCAACAATCTTGGAGGTAGGTTATTTGTATTTTGGCCTCTGCCACCAGCATTGTTATTATCCTCCATCTCTTGTATTGGTTGTATAGGTACACTATTGAATTCTTCTCAAATTATCTGCTTGGCAACTTTCCTCAGTCTCCTCTCAGTCTTTGCAATTTCAGGTAGGATTGGCAAAATGGGCCAACCCGGCTCGACCCGGCCCAACCCGCATTCAACCCTTTAAAATAGGGTCGGGTTAGGGTTGGCTCGAAAAAATAAACGAGCCAGAAAACCCAACCCAGCCCAACCCGAGCCGGGTTATGGTTGGCTCGATAATCAGCTCGCGGGTTGGCTCGGAAAAAAGCTCGCGAGTTGGCTCGAAATGATGCCAGTGGGTTGGCTCGCGGGTTGGCTCGTGGGTTATCTCGCAGGTTGGCTCGCTAGTTGGCTCAAAAAAATTGATTTTTGTGGAACTAGTCTTATTTGTTCTCCAACACTGCATAAAATTATCAACACTGCCAAAACTATTGATTGTCTAATGCATAATGGTGTAAAGACAGTAACTAATAAAACATAACCAATAAATTAAGAAATCCCAAAATAGCAGTAGACAAACACATTACAAAATAAAAACTGTCTTATAAGTTCCCATGGCCAATACAGTACAATATCAAAATCTAAACATCCAAAAGTATACCATCATCATTGGATCATCTACAAAGTTTCATGACCATTAGATCCCCGTGAAGAAACTAATATATGGGAAATACCATCTTCATCATCATTATCATCTACAAAACACAAACCATAAAATGTAAATAATCAATTAAGGTTACAATGACAAATGAAAATGAAATTTTAATTGCATTGAAAATAAATAAATTACCATTGGCATCAAAACCAGCCAACCAATTGCGGGTACATACCAAAGCTTCAACATTCTTTGACAACAACTTATTTCTATATTTGTTAAGCACACATGATCCAATGCTAAAGCAGATTCAGATGCCACAGTGGTAATAGGAATGCTTAACAAGTCACGAGCCATTAATGATAGATTCGAAAAACGACAACTATTATCCTTCCACCATTGCAATGCATCAAAACTATTCCAGTTGTCAATAACCAATATAGGCTCCTCTAAATAAACATCAAGTTCAGATATTCCAGTATTTATTGCAAGGTGTTGATTGTGCAAGAACAATTCATATCATATTTGAGAAGTGCAAAAACATAATAATTGAAGTAAGTACAGGCATAAATAAAGGCGTGAAAATGAATATGATATAACATAATTAAAGCTTTTTGCTAAACATGAACTTACATCAAAGATCTCATCATTTCATCCTCTCGTTTCCATTGACCCTTGACTTGAAGAGTGAGTGTTATCTTGACTTTGATCAATGGTAGTTGATGAATTAATGTTTACATAATTCTCAAAGAGCTTATACACGTTTGCCTTTATATTTTCCATCTTATCATCATGTGTGTAAGCATCAATCTTTTTATGACAAAAAGATAATGTAGTAAACTTAATGCGAGGATCAAGAACAACTCCTAGTGAAAGCACATCACTATACTCTTCCCAATATTTTTGAAACTTATCCATCATCTTATTAGCCATGCTACTTACAACCACATCTTCATCATTTCATCATTACTCATACGAATGAGAACACGCTGAATTTTCCAAACTTGTAGAAAATACAAGTTAGAAGTAGGATAAGAAGTGTCAGACATCAAATTAGTGATATCACAAAATGGTAGCAAGAACCGACAAAGAATTTCTAACCTATTCCACTCTTCTTCTGAAGGATAATACTTGTAGTTTCTATCACTCAATTGGAGAATTGCGAACTCACGCCTGAATTTGAGCACGATTAAGCATTTCATAAGTGGAATTCCATCTAGTGGGTACATCTGCTATCAATGCAGTTACAGTTTTCGCACCACCAACTTGTTCAATGCACTCCTTAAATTTGATCATTCTTGATTCTGAGCCTTTTATATATTTAACACTCTCTCTAATCCGAGACAGGGCATCATTTGCAACTTTTACTCCATCTTGAACAATCAAATTCAATATGTGTTCAGAACAATGCACGTGAAAAATTTTTCCATCACATAACAACAATTTTTGCATATTCAATTGGCTTCTCAAACCACCAACCATAGAGTCATTTGCAGATGCATTATCCAAAGTAATGGTAAAAATCTTCTTCTCTATGCCCCATTCCTTTAACAAACCAAGTATTTTATAAGTCAATTCAAATCCAGTGTGAGGAGGAGGCATATGATGGAAGGCAATAATTTTACTATTCAACTTCTAATTTGCATCAATGAAATGAGCAGTTAAGCAAACATAACCCTCAATATTACAAGATGTCCACAAATCTGAAGTTAAGCATATCCTACTTTCAATGCTAACAAACATCTTTTCCAGCTTCATCTTGTCTCTCATGTGCACATTTAAAACATCTTGTTTAAGAGTATTTCTAGAAATGCCAGTCCAATATGGATTCAAGTAATTATGAAAACGCCTAAACTTCCTATACTCAGCAAAGGGCTGGTCATGTTCAATAACAACTTCAGCATACATCTCACGTGCTACCTTCATATCTATTTTTATAGCCTTCATTTTACCTTGCATGTCTAAAATAACTTGGCCAATTTCTTCATGTTTGATTTGTGTGCATTTGTCAATGTGACGGTTTAAAGTAGACGTACCGCAAGTCTTACTGTCCATCTTGTACTCTATCTTGCAACCATTGCATCTTGCCTTTTCATGCCCTTTTTCTACTATTATTGTGAAATGTTCCCAGCAACGCGCTTGCCTTTTCCTAGGCCTTTTAAAAGTAGGTCCTTCTTCAACTTCCAATTCATCGCTTTCTACATCAGCATCATTTCCCTATTCAATCATTGCCAAGTTTTCCCTATATCAAAGTTTAACATAAAATTACTATAGCGAAAATGGAAAAGATAATTTAAAATAAAAATTAGAGAAACAAAACAGCTTTTTAAAAATAGGAAAATATTTACCTATTCGAATCAGCCATTTCAAATTTTCAGAGACTTGAAGTCTGCACGTTACAAATTTGATGCCAAGCTTTCCCTATGTCACACAACTACAAATTCACACTTAGCACATGTTAATTCTGTCCATCATGATTAGTTGATCATGTATATAAGAAATATTGGGTCTATAACAACGATGAGAATATGATTCAAGGAAATAACAAAAATCTATTTCATTTTGCAATCATATGCCAGAGAGAAGAACAATATCCTTATTTCTTTTACATCATATTCCTTTCAGGGGGCGTGTGTTACTTTTCAATTTTCAGTGATCATAAGCAAGAACATTGTCACTTTAAAATATACAGACATGTTCTATAAGAATTAAGAAACTATGTTGCCAACATATTCCCAGTTTCAAAAAAATGACAACAAAATAACATATACTACTTCAGTCTAGATATAAAAATGACACCAAAAAAATGCAAACATTATCTATTATATAAATCTTCATACAATACTTTGGTTGTTCAGAGCAACCAACCTTTGATAATCACAAGACATCTTTTCTTGTTTGATTCATGCAATGACTCTTCTTGCTGGCATTAAATTGTAGTGCTACCTAGTGCTGGTTGATGATTGAAAAATTGACTTTATTATAACGACTCTAAATTCAAAGGCATTGAAAGCTACATGTTCTAAACCAGAAGGGGGATACTTAGAAAATGCGTTTGCTGATAAACTGATGAGGAACAACATATTATGATTGTGTACATTTTTTTTCTGTTAAATTGATCTTATAAGAAATTCACAGTTTGCTAAATTGGTTAAGCCGGATTTAATATGTTAACAAAAGTCATAAGCTTAACTATATGTTCCCCAAACAAAAAATAGTTTGATCGTTCAAGTTATAGGATTGGGTTGATTGACCTAAGGTTTATTAGACTCCTTTTAAACCTAGCAAGAACGATTTCATGTTAATACAAAAAAGGTAAAAACATTGTAAACATATGCACATTTTTTGGAGGTTAATGATAACTTCATCAAGTGAGGTTCTCCATATGCACATTTGAAAAAGAACTTTCAAAAAGGTTTGATTAAACTCTGTTAATGCCATCATCTCCGGACAAATTGCAAGTAATTTTTTTAGCATACTACAGCTAGAACCATTAATATGAAATACATCTTTCTCAGCTCATACACTAATGACCAATCATTCAAAAGCCAGAGGAGAAGTGTCTGTTCAGTCTTAGTAAACCAAGTACAAAATAATTAAACATTAATTAAACTTAATTAATTCTAGCAGCTAGACCAACCAACATACATCACCATCAATATCC